TATATGTGTGTGTGTGTGTGTGAAAACTTAAGAAAACAAATGTATATGTGTGTGTGTGTGTGTGTGTGTGTGTCTGTCTGTATGTATGTATGTATGTATGTATGTATGTATGTATGGTATTTAGGTTTCTTCGGGTATTTTCCCACGTCTTAATATTTGTGCTTTTATTATAGCGACGTTTCGGCAGAATCTCATCTGCCATCCTCAGGCTTGTGTATTGGGTTCTTTTTTATCTTGAGTGTCAGGCTTAGCAGCCATTTTTTGTTTGAATTTGGTGCTCACTTTCTGCTTTATTTGAATGGTTTTTTCCTCATCTTGATTGGCTAGGAGTCTAGGTCCTGTCAGACAATCAAGATGAGGAAAAAACCATTCAAATAAAGCAGAAACCCAGCACCAAATTCAAACAAAAAATGGCTACTAAGCCTGACACACAAGATTAAAAAGAACCCAATACACAAGCCTGAGGATGGCAGATGAGATTCTGCCGAAACGTTGCTATAATAAAAGCACAAATATTGAGACATGGGAAAATACCCGAAGAAACCTAAATACCATACATATAAATACCCACGAAAACATAAGAAATATATATATATGTTTTGCTTTGCTTTAGATTTATTCTGACATAATTCCATAAAATAATCTTCTTGTAATGTTCTATATGTTTGTTCTATATTTGGCTGAGGGATACAATCAGAATTATATAGATAAACAAAATGGATAGAAAAAATATTGTCTCTCTGTGTATTGATATTTTTTAATTGCAAGAAGTAACAATTTCTATTGTTGGCTGAAATGAGAAAAAAAAGAAAAAAACACAAGAAAAAGCACTATATTTATATATTTAAAAGGAAACAGAAAACATAAAATAGGTGTCTGAAAGAAGATTCATGTCAAAAAGTGACAAAGAAGATTGAATATGAACTGGAGAGTGATTGTTCTCAAATTAGAAAACAAATTAATCAAAGCATCTATTTACTATTCTTATATAAAAGTGCTTCTCATATCATTCTCATAAGAGCCGCGGTCGCGCAGTGGTTAGAATGCACTACTGCATGCTACTTCTGCTGACTGCCAGCTGGCTGCAATTTGGCAGTTCGAATCTCACCATGTTCAGGGTTGACTCAGCCTTCCATCCTTCCGAGGTCGGTAAAACAAGGACCCAGATTGTTGAGGGCAATATGCTGACTCTGTAAGCGCCTTAGAGAGGGCTGTAAAGCACTATGAAGCAGTATATAGGTCTAAGTACTGTTGCTATTGCTATCATAGTTGATATCTTGCTTTCAGCCTGTATGAATCTTAATGCTAACTTAAAATTCAAAATGTATCATTAAGAGGTACATTTTTGATATTTCAGTTAATATGTGAAGATAACAGTTGCGATTGTATTATCATTCATAGGCATAGGCCTATTGCAATTTTGTATTTTTTTCACCCTAACCAGCAATTGTGTGCTCCATCTTGTCAGAGATCTCATTTGATCTCTTGTATCTGTTGTTATTGCTTATGGCCCTGTTATTTCCCTTTATTTACTTTTTATTTTCTCTTATTGCTTCTAAAACATTTGTTCACTTTTTGTCTCAAAATACTATAATGCTCATTAGGATTCCTTATAGATTTTAACATGGAAAAACATATTTTCAGATATGATATTTGAAACAGGAACACTATATATTATCATGGGGAACGTGTAAAGTGGTAGTCTCTTTTTCTTAGTCCAACAACCCTCAAAGTGCTGTCAGTTCGAAGTCCTGGAAGAAAAACAGGATCAAATATGAATCTAGTAGAAGTATCTGTAGACAAATAAATATGAACAATGTCCTACAAAATATCTTCTTTGGGAAATTCTTTAGGGAACAAAAACATTATTTCTTGCATAGTTTTTATAGCTAAGATATAATTATCACAAACATATTTATTTTAGAAATAATCTCCATTATACACAATAGTGTATATTTCTTATCAGTAAGTCCACCAATATCATTGGAAGGAAATATGGATAGAATTACACTTTCACTTTATCTTGCAAGAAAATCATATAATACAAATTGCATTATTTTTATTCTGTCGCCAATTGTTTTTGACCCAACTGATTAAAAAATAAAATAATAAAATAAAACAAGTAAAATAAAATAAAACAAGATGTCCTAAGTTGAACTTGTAGTTTCTAAGATACTCAAGGAATATAGACCTGCATTTATTTAATAAAACCAGTTTGATATATCTCCTTCTGAATCCATATATTTCCACGGCATTTTTAAAAGGGAAATCATTTTGGCCAACAGTTGTGGAGGAGGTTAGAGATAACCTTCTTCTGTCTTGAAGTGCTTTTAGGCCACTTACATTTCTTGGCCAGTGTCTTAGCACTTCACCTTCACAAAACAAATCACACTAACTCAACAACAAAAATAATGAAATGAATAAGTTGTTTCAAAATCTAATAAAAAGAGATGTGTTTCCATTAAGGATAAAGACACAAGCGATTGTCCATTAATTTTCAGTGTGGTTTAGTTTGTATTTTAGTATAAATTCAAATTACTATATTATGACCTTTGGCAAAGGCTTAAATAACTTTTTGAATAAGTATTGAATGACTGTTATTTTCAGCTTGTGTAAAGAATTCTAATTAGATTCTTTCCCCACCAAAAAATATTCCTTTTTGTTGTATTGTAGTTAATGTAACAGTGAGGTCAATTGATAGTATAATTAAAAATTAATAATCACAGAACTAATTATTTTATTTTACACTGTTTATACCTTATTTAACTCAATGTAACATTTATTCTATTAACCTGATTTGTATGATTTTTTTTCTGATCAGCAGATATTTTGATCATGGAGTAATTACTTACAATGCTGAAAATTCATGCTTAATTAAGAAAAAGCTACAAATCTTTGTATCCTCATTTTTTTATTCAAAGTCAAATTTGAGTTTAATATAAAAAGTCATCAACATGAGTACAATAACTCTAGCAATAATCATAAATTGAGAAAAATAATCTCATGCAAATCGAATTTTTTATTTTTTATTCTTTCTTTTAGAAAATAGGATAACTTTAGGGGAAATTGATGAATCCTCCAATTACAGTTGTAAGTTGCAAACTGGGTCACTATGTAACTGGACCCGATTTATGACCTGCTTTGCAGCAGTCATTAAGTGAATGATGCGGTCATTAAGTGAACCCATTGTTCACTATGGGCGGGATTTTGTTAGAAACAGAAAGTAAATGCTGTTATAAATCATGGTTACATGACCATGGAGCATTGCAAATGTCTGTAAAAGCAGGCTGGTTGCTGAGTGTCCAAAATCTAGTCACATGATTATGGATGTATTATGTATGATGGTGGTAAATAGCTTTTTGGGAGGGGGAGGGGGGTCATCATAACTTTGAACTGTCACTAAATGACCCGTCATACGTCATGTATGGTTCTTTTAGCTTCTTGCATATGTACTGTATTCTGTATATCCATCAACATTGTTAATGATTGTATGTATTTTGTATGTATGCATGCATACATGCAATCATGAACAATGCCAATGGATGGAAAAGTAAAATAAGCAGAAGAAACCAAAAATAATTCCTTCAGAGAATAGCAACAGCACTTAGACTAATATACCACTTCATAGTGCTTTACATCCCTC